CTGTCAGCATTCACAGACCACAGTAAGAACAGACCCAGTTCGTCACACAGGGACACTAGAGCTCACCCAGTTTTGCACACTTGCTCTCACGTGACGGTTCACACTTCCCCACATGCTGACGGTGCTTGCATGGTTTTGCACACTCACACTCGATCTTGCATGGTAGTTTTCACTGCCGCACATGAGCAACACCACTTTTGCACACTCACATTGGGGCTCTCACCACAGTTCACATTTCCTCACAGGCACAATGGCGACTGCATGATTTTGTGATCACTGTCACACAGCCAGTCACACTCCGTGCATGAAACTGGCACTCAAAATTTTTCACACTCACACCCGCATGGCCATTCACATGCCCCTGTATGAACAATGACACACTGTTTTGCACACACACACTTGCTCTTCCATGGCAGGTCACACTGCCCTCTATGAACGATGCCACATGTGCACACTCACATTCGCTCTCGCACAGTGGTTTACATTTCCCCACACACACTATGACACTTGCACAATTGTGTGCTCACACTTGCTCTCACACGGCCATTCAGTCTCACCTGCATGGACAACGGTGCTCACCCAGCTTTGCACACACACAGATCGCACTCTCACATTCAGTTCACACGTCCCCATGCGCTGACTGCTCTTGCACGGTTTTGCACACTCGCCGTCACACCGCCAGTCACACTTCCCCACATGCACAATGGCCCTTGCACGATTGTGCACATTCCCACTCACTCTCGCACGGCCATTCCCACTCCCCTGCACGAACAATGCCGCTCCCCCAGCTTTGCACCCTCCCCCTTGCTCTTGCACGGCGGGTCCCCTGCCCCCGCTTGCCCGATTCGGCCCCCTTGCTCCCACTGCCGTTCCCGCTTCCCCACGAGTGCCACGCCCCACCCTGGCGGGGCAACTGGCCCTTCCCCTTGTGCCCCCTCGCACGCCCGGCTGGCACCAGGGCCCGATGGCTCACCCGCTTCTCGTGGTTGGGGATGATGCAGCGCACGAAGTTGGGGTTGGTGTTGCGCAAGGTGGCCATGAGCTTGGCCAGCGACTCCTTGTAGAGCTGGCCCACGGTGCGGAACATCCCCTTCTTGGTCTTGTAAGAGGCCCCGAAAGCCACGTCCCCCATGCTGCTCACCTGGTCCAGGCCCACGATCCGGTCCACTGCGGGCGAGGGGGCGGGGTCAGCCGGGAGCCCCCTCCCATCCCCGGAGCCCCCGCCCGGAGAGCTGGGGCTGGGGTAGTGGGAACCGCCCCCCACAGCCCCACAGTGCCCCCTGCTGGGAGAGGTGGGCCTGGGGTAGTGGGGAACCCCTCCCCCAGCCAGCACCCCATAGTGCCCCCCGCTGGGAGAGGTGGGGCTGGGGTAGTGGGAGCCCCCCCCCAGCCAGCGCCCGACATCTCCCCCTTGCTGTAGCAGGCAAAGGGCCCTGAATGGATGGAGGATGCAAAAAAGGGGCAAAGGGGGGGGGGGGGAACGGCCCTTATCCCCCCCCCCCCCCCCGCTGACCTGACAAAGGGCCGGCTGGGGGGCTGCTGCCTGGTGGGAGAGGGGGTCTGGCTAGACGGGCCCCTGATCCCCCTCCCTGGGGCTTAGCCATCGCGGTGAGGCGGGGATCTGCCCCGGGGCTCAGCGATCTTAGCAGGGGGGCAGCCCAGGCTGGGGGGGTGATGTGAGGGGGGGCGGGTGATGTGAGGGAGGGCGAGTTGGGGGGGCTGATGGGGGGGGGGGAACATGGACGTACTTTCACCTTGGCCTGGGGACACCCCGGCGTAGCTGTCAAAGAAATAAACCTTCTGGATGTTCCCGATCTCTGGAGAGGCCGACGCGGGGGTCGGGGCGAGGGGAGGGGGACGGGGGGGGGGGGGTTAGACAGACAGACAGAGAGATCAAGGACAGATGGACGGACAGAGAAATCAAGGACAGAAGGGGCCAGGCCCGGAGGGCAGAGAACACAGCAGAACAGCGAGAGCCAGTTAGTTACAGCACCGAAGGGGTTAATGGGGGGGAGAAATCATCACGGGGGGGGGTGAGGTAAATGGGGGGAATCATCCCAGCAGCCCCCCGGCCCCGAGGCCAGCAGAATGCCGGGGGGCGGGGGGAAGAGGTCAAGAATTAGTGGATGCTACTGGGGGGGTCAGAGAGGTCAGGGGAGGGGGAGTCGGTGCCAGGGGGTGCTAGCGACCCCCCCCCCAGTTATTTACAGTGGGCTTTGCTTTGAGTCTCCTGATTCCTGGGGAGTGAGTGTGGGGGGACAGGTGGGGTTAGTGGCTGGGGGCTGTTGGGGGGGCACAAAGGGCCAGTGGCTGGGGCTGTCTGTGGGGAACTAGGGGGTGCACAGAGTTGCTGTGCCGGGGGGGCTGTGGGGGCAGTGGCTGGGGCTGGCTGTGGGGGACCGGGGGGTGCACAGAGGTGCTGTGCCTGGGGGGGGTCTGTGGGGGCAGTGGGGGGCAGTGGCTGGGGCTGTCTGTGGGGGGCCGGGGGGGTGCACAGAGGTGCTGTGCCTGGGGAGGGGGGTCTGTGGGGGCAGTGGCTGGGGCTGTCTGTGGGGGACCTGGGGGGTGCAGGGAGCTGCTGTGACTGAGAAAGTAGAAGAAGGGAGCAGACAGTGGCTCCGTGGGGAGAGTAAGGGTGTTCCCCACCCCAACCCCACCCCAGCACCGCCCCCCCCACCCCACCCTACCGTCCTTCCAGAGCTCGGCGGTGAAGCGCTCCGTGCTCTGGTGCAGCAGGGTGGCCACGTTGTCGTTCAGCGGGTCCATGTTCTTCATCAGCCACTCGTCCGCCTTGTAATCCACCTGCGAGGGGGGAGGGCGCATGGGTCAGGGGGAGGCACCCCAGCCCCCACAGCCCGACAAGCTGGGGCCTGTGGGACTCCCTGCCACTTGACAACCTGGAGGGTTTAAAACCACAGCGGGGGGGGGGGGGGGGGGGGGCACGCAGGGGGGGGGGGGGGGGGGGGGGGGCGACACAGGACTGGGGGAGTAAACTGAGCGGGACGACACACAGCGAATGGGAGCCAGGACTCCTGGGTTCTCTCCCCAGCCCGGGGAGGGGAGGGGGATCTGGTGGTTAGAGAGGGGAGCTGGGAGCCAGGATGCCTGGGTTCTCTCCCCGGCCCTGGGAGGGGAGTGGGCAGCATAACACCGAGCTAGCCTGGGGCCTCTGAGTGAATCGGGTTATGATGGGAAAACCACTGCACTTAAGGGACTGTCCACTAGAGGGCAACATCACACACACAAACACACACACAGAGCAGGGCCCGGGCCCCCTAGCAGGATACACACACACACCAGGGACCAGCCCCCCCAGCAGGGGCAAGGGCACCCACCTTGCCGGCGTAGTGGAGGATGCAGAAGTCGGCCTTGTCGCGCAGCTGCCGGGGTTTCTGGAACTTGGGGTGCCCCCCCTGCTCCTGGATCACCTTCTCCACAAAGCTCTTGTCGGTGGCTTTGGGGAACCAGCACTCCTCGTCCAGCAGGGCCAGCACTCCCGGGGGGTTCACCTGTGGGGGGGAGGGGCCGTCACCCCACTGGCCCCCTGTGCACGGGGCCCCCTGCCCAGCCGCTCCGCCCCCTGCCCCGTGGCACAGAGCCACCTGCCCAGCCCCCCCTCCTTCCCCCCCCCCACAGCACTTCGCCCCCTGCCCGGACGCCCCGCCCCGAGACCCAGTGACCCCTACTGAGCTCCCCTTGCAGCAGGCGCTCCCTGCCCGGCCCCCCCCCCCCCCCCCCCCCCCCCCCCCCCCCCCCCCCCCC